TTTCCAGCGGGGTGGCTCCAGGGAGATCTCCACAGCGCCCAGCCAAGCACGAGCTGGTAATAGGATGGTGTTAGAATCCACAAAACCAGCTCCCGGCCCTGGGGAGCCCCCAGTGGTGCTCATCCCCTAGGATCCCCCTCCTCCCTGCCAGCACGGGCTCAGTCCCCAGGGACTGGCTGCCTGTGGGAGCAGTGCTGGTGCTGCTCGCCCAGCTCCAAGGCAGGAGAGCCCCAGGGGCAGAGTGCAGCTCCGTGTCCCTGGGGCCACCCACCCGTGTGGCATTCGGGCTGAGAAAGGGGATGGAGGAGGCACAACGATGGGATCACAGGGGACTGGCACCACTCCAGGCAAGGGCATTTCATTATGGTATGAAGTCCCACCAAGGCCAGAACACAGGACCGACTCCCATGAATAAACCTTGTGCAGATGCCACCAGGAGAGCCAGGAGCCCAGCCAGGGTGATGGGCACAGCCCCTGCACACCACGGGAGGGTCCTCCAGGGGCTGGCCTCCCTATCCCTCTGAGCTGCACCCCTGAGCATCCTTCCAAGTGCTTTGGAGGCACAGACACAATGGCACACACGTTCAGGGCTGCACAGAGGAGCTGCTCCACTGGCATTTCCCAGGGAAGGCTGTTTCCCCCCTAGAATAACCTGCAGAGCCCAGCTGCAAAGCATCCCGGTTCCTGCGCTGGTGCTGGCAGCCACCATTCCTCCCACCTTCCAAGGGTCCCCCATGGGCAGGCCCACCCCACAGGGAGGTCCCTGTCAGGCTCTGCCATGGCACAGAGCTGTGGCTGAGCTGTCACAGCCACACACAGTTCACTGCAGCACTGGGCAGTGGCTGTGCCAGGCTACTGGGAGTGGCACCGGTCTGGTGAGTGGACAGCAGTGGGTACACACTGGCACCTTCACCCCAGGCACTAACCCTGCCCTGCCACACCTCAGTCCCAGGAGAAAACCCTGCAACTCCCCTGGGAGCAGAGCAAGACAGCAACAGAGCCCACAGGGAGTCCATGTGCTGGTAAATCCATGCACAGCACTGAAACTTGGGGTTGCTTTCCTCCCTGAATCCAGTGCTTGAGGCTGATGGGAGCTGCGGTGCCACTTGGGGATCCTCAGTCCCAGCAGCCCTCTGTCCCAGTGAGTCCCTGGGGACACCCTGTGTCCTGCAGGGGAAAGTGGGAGGCATCTCCCCGGGGTGGTGCTGAGCAGTTCAGAGGCTGGTCCCAGCTCTGTGGTTTTTTGGTGGAATTGTTCCAAGGCTCCACGTGAGGCTCACGGGGCTCAGGGATTCCTCGACCCACAGCAGCACTGCCGGAGCATCAGCTGCTGAATCAGCTCTGCCGACCCCAAACCACCTCGTTATATTCTGGGCATCCTGCTGTCCACAGACACCCACGCATCCCTGTGCCTTCAGCCTGGCTCTGGAGCAGCTCCCCAGGTCCCTGGCAGCAGGACAGTCCCCCCCAGCCCACCTCCAGTTCTCCAGTTCAGCACAGGATCAGGTGGGCTCAGGGTTTGGATGTGTCCCAGCACAGCCCCCAGCATCCACCTGCATCTCATGCCACAATCAGCTGCTTTGCTCCCGGCCTCCCCACATCCTCAGGGATGCACCAGCCCAGAACCCACATCTGATGCACCCATGCAGGGTTGGAAAGAGCTGGGGAGCATAAAACACCCAGATTAATCAAAACACACCAGCTTTCCTTAAGATGCACAAGGAGAAGGACCTCCCCCGATGGTGCCAGGAGCACCTTCCAGGCTGGTGGGGCCACAGATGCACAACAGGGCTGGGTTTGGTGCAACAGTCAGACAATTGCTCGGGCAGGAGAGCAGGAGCAGATCAGGAATTTGCCACATGCACTGCTGGAGCCGGCTGCAGTCACCCCTCCCAAAGCACCAGCATGACCAGAGCCACCCTGGGGGCACAGGGAGATCTGCCAGGCCCCACCCCACTGTCTGACCAGCAGCGAAATTCAGGTGCCCCACAGTTCCTCCTCCAGACACCAGAGCTGATGAAACATCCCTTGACTTCTAGCACACAGGGAACAACGGAGTGGGTGGCCCCACTGGGACGTGACAGCCCCCAAACTCAGGGGGAGACACCAGGATCCCACGCCCCAGGGCTGTCAGGGATGGGCCAGCACCATCCCCAGCTGCAGGATCACACCTGTTCAGGGCATTCAAGATTACAGCCGCACGCTGCCTGATTTACAGTTTAATTAATAAATGGGGAATTATGCTGAGTTTATCCAATACTTTGGGATGCGTGATGTTATCAAAATCCTATTACTGATGAAGAAAGGCATGAAAAGCAAAATTAGCTTTGGCATCTGAAACACATCAGTCAATGCGATAACACAATTATTAGAGCTAATAATCAAAGGGCACTTTGGGGAACGTGGGCTCTGGCAGGAGCGGAGCCGAGGGCAACCGCAGAGGGGGGACAAGCTGGGGAACAGCCGGGTGTTCATCCAGGAGGGAAAGGCCAACGACAGCCAAGGGCAAAAGCATTTTGCCAATTGCACTTCCCGGCAGCTCCAGATACCGGCACAGGGAAGGCGCCGGTGGCCACCCGGCTGAGGAGGAGTGTGGCCAGGCACAGTGCCGAGCTGCACGGCCGGGGATCGGAAATTAAAACACAGAGGATCTGAAAACCAGCGGACACTGGGTGCCGTCTGTACGCTTGGGCATTGATCCTGCTGGACAACATCACGGCCGCCAGCTCACAGCTCTCTGCGCAGCCCAGGGAAGGAGAAACTCTAGTCATAACGAGGAGCCGCAGTCATCCGGCTCTCAGAGCTGGGGCTTTGCCAAAACCATGGCGAGCTGGAGGAAGGACCTGCTCCCACCCCTCGGGGTGAGCGGGAGCCCCAGCTCACTTTGACGGCCTTTAGCTCGAGCCATCCCCAGGGCTCACGGGGCCGGAGGCAGCTCCCTCGGGAGCAGTTGGCAACAAATGCCACGGCTGCGCCATTCCACTGCCCACGGGCACTGCTGCGGGCGAGCAACGCTGATTTGGAAGCCCCCTCCCCAGCTAAATATATATAATATACATCAGTATATCATATAAGGGTCTATATGAATGTATCTGTGTGTCATCCCTCCTCCTTGGCCCCGGGCGCTGAGGGCAGCGGGTTGCAGAGCGGGGTAGCCCGAGGCGATGCAGCGCAGCCGGTGCTGGCTCACTGCCGCTGCCATCGCCGGGCCGGCAGGCAGCGAGGGACGTGTCCTCGCCCGGCAAAATCGGGGGCACCGGGGCTTCGGGCCGCCTCCCGGCAAGCGGGGCAGTGGCGCTCGCCACGGGAGGCCGGGCGAGGTGCCAGGGGATCAGGCAAGGTCAGACCCCCTCCTGCACTACACCAGAAGCAAGAGGGCATCGCACCAAGAGGCATTTGGGGTTTCGGGAGAGTGGGGTGTTTTGCTGGATTGTGCTGTTCTCGTGCAGTACAGGTGATGTCCCGCTGCCACTGCTGGCCTCAATGACCTTGGGTGCATCACCTCCCCGGTGCCCCGCACTCCCCTGGCACACAGACCACCGCGAGCCACGCTCCCTCCCATCAAAACGCTGCGGCCAAAAAACAGCCAAGCTCAGCAAAGGCTCAGAGCGCCGGGGATGCCCCGGGGGTGCCCCGGGGGTCCGGGAGCCCCCGGCAGCGTGCGGCCGAGGCACTGTGCAAGCGAGGAATAATGCAGCAGGCTGGAGACTCCTGCCGGTGGCTGCGCTGCCGCTCGGCGCGTGCGGGAGGAACACCGCTGCAGCAGCACCTCACGCACCAGCCCTCGCTCAGGACTGAAGTTTTGCTGCAGCAGAGGAGCCGGCGGGGAGTCCCGCAGCGCCCTGCAGCTCCACAGCGCAGGAGGGCTGGGCTGCCGGACACCCTGCAGCGGGTGACAGCACACAGCGGGGGACATCCCGCGGTGGGTGACAGCAGCATCCCGGCCACTCTCACCCACAGGACACGAGAGCGCTGCGCCGAGGAGCGACCGTGCAGAGACACTCAGAGGGTGTACAGTTGGGGACCACGAAGAGATGAGTGACTCAGACCCGTGTTCCCCTCTTCCCACACCACAGTCACCTTGCAACCCTGCCTGTCCCCTGCGCAATTTGCAGAGAGAGCTCCTTCGGGATCACTCTTTAAAACTAGGCTGAGGGGAGCAGCGAGGTGCTGAGCACAGCGAGGGCTGCGGCACCCCGGTGTGACACCCCCGCTTCTGGACTGAGCCCCTCCGCACCACTGCACCCCGACGGCACCCAGCCAGCGTGGGAGGGCAGGAGGATCCCGGAGCTTGGTGTAGCCACGGTGGGGGAATCCAGCCGGAGAAGGGTCTGGCTGGAGCTGGCTCCTGGCCAGGCCGCTACGGAGAAGCTGCCAGTGCAGTGGGGCTTGCGGCCGCCCACGGCTGGGGCCACGCCGCTCCCACGAGTTCCCAGCATCAGGGTGGGTTCCCTGCAATGCAGCGGGGACAGCCCTGCGCCCCCCGTCACTCCCCTGGGCCAGCACCCCAAGGGCACGAACAGTCGGGCACCTACAGGGATGCGAAGCTGGAGCATCCCGCAGCACCCAGAGGGCACCTTTGACCTGGCGGTTCGGCTCAGCACCCCCGAGGGTCTCACGTCCTCGGGGGGGTCCCACGCCTCTGAGTGCTCCCCTTCCAGTTCCGCAGCCCCCTGCACTACTGGTCGCCCCCCTCTTCATCCCACCAGACTCTGTCTCCAGCAGCCTTCGGGGCGCAGCTCCCCACTGAGAGCCCCGGGGGCGTTGGGCAGCGCTGGGACCCGTGTCCCGGGAGGGTTTCCCGGGGAAAGCGCCGTTCCCTGCCCCGCTCCTGGCACCGGGACGCGGCGAGTCACCGGCGCGCACTCCATCCCACCCCACCGGGGGACGATCGCACCTCGGGATGGGCTCGGTGGGAGCCCGGGCGGCCCCGTCCCGCAGAGCCCGCGCCGCTGCGGCAGCGGGGAGAAACTTCTGCGGGAGTGCGGGCGGGCACTTACCAGCCGGGGCGGCGGGGCGGGAGCGGTGCGGTGCCTGCGGTCGGTGCGGTCGGAGCGGGAGGGGACAGGAGCGGTCGATGTGTGGAGGGCGGGGAGCGGAGCGGTCGGGGCGGTGCGGGCGGAGCGGGGCGGTCGGTGCGGGGCGGGCGGCGGGACCTGCGCGGCGCTGCGGCAGCTCCGGCCCCTCCGGGCTCGCGTGCGGCGGCTCCGCGAAGCTCCGCCCGCCCCCGAAGGCCCCGCCCGCGCCCCCGCCCACACACATCGCCCCAAAACCCACCCATCCTTCGCGGGGCGCGGATCGGGGGTCGTGCGGGAGCGGCACCGCCCCTGGGGCTCCCGGCACCGGGTACCTTCCCATCGGGGTCACCTCGCACCGGGCACTAACAGCGAGCACCGACATCAGGCACCTCACACCGGGCACCCCTCACCGGGGTCACCTCAGCACCGGGCACACCTTATCGAGGTCACCTCACACGCAACACCAGCAGCGACACCAGGGACTGCCACTGGGCACCTCGCACCAGGCACAGGCACCGGGCACCCTTCCTCGGGGACACCTCACGCTGTGCACCAGCACTGGGCACAGGGCACCGGGCACCCCTCGCTGGGGTCACGTCACACGGGGAACCAGCACCACACCAGGGCACTTCACATCAGGCGCCTCAAGGCAGGCACCTCACAGCAGGCCTGGTATGAGGCACCAGCACCGAACCGTTCTGTGGGTCTGTGCAGGAAGGGCTGACTGTCCCTGGGGATGGAGGTGCTGCTGGCACACAGGTTGTGGGGTCACCTTGGCAGGAGCTGCTGGGTGCTGCTGTGCCTACACTGGGTGCTGCTGTACCCGGACTGGGTGTTGTAGCCCCTGGGTGCTGCTGCACATGCCGGCAGCTGTGCCCAAGGGATGCGGTGCCCAAGGGATGCGGTGCCCAAGGGATGCGGTGCCCAAGGGATGTGGTGCCCAAGGGATGCGGTGCCCAAGGGATGCAGTGCCCAGTGGCTGTGGCTGCACACCTGGCCCTCTCACACACACAGTCAGTACCTGGCAGGTGCTACTGAACATCCTGGGTGCTGAATGTTCGTGGTGGATGCTCCAAACATGTCCAGGTGCTGCTGGGATCCCTGTGCCCTGCAGCTCCCCTTCCCAGCCCTCGCAGCCCTGCACCAACCCCCACAAACCACAGAAACACCCATGAGCTCCCAGTAGATACTGAGAGCATGGGAAGGGACTTACATGGGAATCACATCCCCACTACAGCACCCATGGGTGCTGGTTACCTAAACCAAAGGGACCCTCCCCTGCCCATCACCCTTGAAACATGTGGCTGAGTTTTCCCAAATGCAGGTGTCTGTCTGGAATTGAAGCATCATCATCATCGTCCCCCTGAGGTCCTTCTGCATCCTCCCCCATGCCTGGGGACAGATTCCTCTCGCTCGCTGGCTCTGCCCGTGGCAATTCCCGTGAAGTGGCGGTGGCTGGGACCCTTCTGCTGCAATCCTGCCTCCTCTCCTGCCTGCTCTGCTCTCCTCTCCTCTCCTGCCTGCTCTGCTGCCCGCACAGGGCCCGGAGCCAGCACAGGTTGGGGTGCACGCACAGGGCACATCTCTGCGGATGAGGGACCGGGGCTCGCCCAAACCAGTCCCGCTCTCCGCGTTCGAGCTCGCACCGTAACCAACTCGTGTGAACTCGCCCTGCGGAAGAAGCAGCAGCCGATGGGAAGAGCCCTCTCCTGGCCCTGGATCCGCCACTGCAGCCTCTTACAACTCATCACCACCCCGTCATTAATTAACGGTTCTTGAAGCATCTGTCCCTGCTCCAGCATCGCTCTCCGGAGGGGAAAACAAATTTGGAGACGCCGCGGGAGGACCGGGCTCTCCCTGCCCCCTTCATCCTCCCCACGTGCCCTGCTGCAAGGCAGGGGAACTGTCACTGCACAGGGGACACTGCCCCACCTCTGTCCCCCTGTGCTGATGTGGCATCTGTCACCACTGTATTCTTTCATGGGGATCAGACCTGGTGAGGCAAAAGGGGTCCATGGGATGCCCACCCACCCTTCTTCCCCCCCTGCTTATCCCAAGTACAGCCTGTTCCTCCTGTCCCAGGAGAGGGACCTCCTGCTTTCCACGTCCTGCAGAACTGCCAGGATTCCAAACCAGGAGCATTTCTGCCCACTCCAGACTTTACAGGAGTGTGACCTTGAGAGAGGGGTCCCCAATCCCTAAAACTGCTCCCAGCATCCTGCAAAACAGCCAAGGTTTCAACCCAGGAGCGCTTCTACCAAGCCCCAGTTCCCAGATTTTGCAGGAAGGTGACTACCAAGGACAGGGCCCCTCTGCTATGAAGACAGGGTGGGAGAGCTTGGGGTGTTCAGCCTGGAGAGGAAAAGTCTCCAGGGAGACATCAGAGCCCCTTCCAGTGCCTAAAAAGAGATGGAGATGGACTTTGGACAAGGGATGGAGTGACAGGACAAGGGGGAATGGCTTCCCACTGCCAGAGGGCAGGGTTAGATGGGATATTGGGAAAAATATTCCATTTAATATCCTTCCCTGTCAGGGTGGGGAGGCCCTGGCACAGGTTGCCCAGAGAAGCTGTGGCTGCCCCACCCCTGGAAGTGTCCAAGGCCAGGTTGGACAGGGCTTGGAGCAACCTGGGCTGGTGGAAATTGTCCCTGCCCAGGGCAGGAGGGTTTAATGAGATGAGCTTTAAGGTCCCTCCCCACCCAAACATTCTATGAGCCCATGATGCGCAGCAGTGGCACAACTGCCCTCCCCTCTCAGGCGCAGGGACAGAGCCCACGGACACAGGACCAGGAGCCAGTGGTACAGGAGATCACTTTATTGAATCCAATGGTGTTAGACAGACGACCGAGAAGAGACATGCCAGTTGGTGCGGGCAGCGTGGGCAGCAGGAGCTGACTTGGTGCAGGGCTGGATTTGTTTCTGTCTTTTCGGAATATCCTCAAGCCTTTTCCTGGCTTCCTTTTATGCTTCTTTGAAAACCTCTTTGAAGTAAAAACAACTGATCGTGGAAAGAGTCCAGATGGTGTTTGTTTGTTCCCTATGATTGTTCCCGCAGCTATGTACAACGTGGGGCTGGGTCTCAACATCAGGTATAAAATGGAGCGAGTTTACAAACGTGGAGGGTGCAAGGAAAAAAGCAAAGACAGACAGGCGAGAGCAGTAGAAATCTGGACCAAAATCTTAAAGAGAAATTTAAAAAGTGCTATAAAACCCCTCGGCAGGAATACCATGCAGTTAAGAAACACAAAACCCAGTCAATTACACAGATCATCTAAACCAGGAATTTGTCCATTTCATCTTTTATTTAATTAAAAAAAGGTTGTTTGTGTTTAATAGAAAAAAGCTAAAATTGTAAGGTTCAGGCCACCGGGCAGCAGCAGCTCGAGGGGGCAGGAGGGTGAGGTGTCGGTGTCACCCACCTCCAGCCCCTCAGAGGAGCTCCCAGGGGCCACGGGCACCTTTGGGGGCAGCAGGCACCTTTGGGGACAACAGGCACCTTTGGGGGTGACCAGCTCCTTTGGGGGTGACAGGCACCACTGGGGGCAGCAGGCACCACCTTTGGGGACAGTGGGCACCCTTGGGGGGTGACAAGGGTGATGAACACCCTTGGAGGTGGCAGGGGATGAGATAGTGCAATCCTTGGACAATTCCCTGGGGACAGAGGGGGCTCAGCCCACAGCCAGGGGATGGTCCCCAGACAGCTGCCAGGCTGGGGGACACGAGGTGCTTGGTGTAAGCCAGGAGGAATCCATCAGGACCTGGTTCCCCCAGCCCATGCCCATCCCAGGGCCCACCTGCTTCCCTTTCCTCCGAGATTCCTCCTGGATCACACTCCCACGTGCCACTCACCAACTGCCCAGGCTGAGGTGACAGGATCAGGGGTAGCTCTGTCCTGGGGAGGGACAGGGCAAACCTGCAGGACACGAGGGGGGACAACAAGTAGCTGTGGGCAGGACAGTTTGGTCAACGTTTTGGTGGCTCCTTGGGGGTGTCAGAAAAGAAAGCAGGCCCAGGCAAGGCTGCCCCTCCTCCCACAGGACTCCTCAGGGCACCTGGGCACGAGGCAGCCCCCAAAGGTGCACGGTGTCCTTCCCACCCTGGGCACCGGAGCCCCGAGGAGGGCGCGAGGGGCTGGAGGGGACAGACAGGTCCCCACCGCCGGCCTCGAGCGGCTGCTGAGCCAGTGTCTTGTACAATCAGAAAAGAAGTCAGCACAGCACAGTCATCACAGAGTACAAAAAAAAAACCCAAAACCAGGGACGAGGCGCAGGGCCGGGCCCCCCCAACCCACGCGGGGCGTTCCACGACGGATCTATGTACAGCGAGTCCTCGGCCGACGGCGGCAACACAAGAGAAGGCGAACAGAAAGCCCTAACGCCCAAGCCAGCGTGGGGAGGGGACCTCGGGAGATCCCTGCGGGAAGGGGCCGGGCTGGCCGGCCGCGGGGGCAGCGGGAGGCTGTCGGACGGACGGAGGAGTGAGCACCTTGGGGCGGTGAGGCGGAAAGCACCGGCTGAGAGCACCAAGGGCAGAGGCGGCGGCGGCCTCGGGCGGCACCGCGGGACATGCCCGTTCCAGAGGGGGGTGAGGCGTCCCTGAAGGCCCCACCAGCCGAGGCACAGGGGGCTGAGGCTGCCCAGTCCCCAGCCTGGCAGGGTTTGGAGACTGGGTAGGCTTGGTAGACCTGGCCCTGGGGTCACCTTTCCCCAGATGTCTCTCCAGGGCCCTGGTTGACTGTGGGGGCTGAGCTGGAGGGAAGGATCAGGCCCCCATAGGCCAGGTGGGCACAAGAGGGGGGTGTTGATCCGCAGGGCACCCCACAGCATGGCTGGGGACAAGCCAGCAGGAGGTGCTGCAGGCAGCAGCCCCAGCTTGGTGAGTGCCAGCACCCCTGTCCCATCCCAGCCAAGCTGGCTTTGGGGACAACCAGAGGACACTGGAGCTGGAGCAGGCTGTGACAGCACTAACCCAAGCCCCACGTGCCCCCTTCCCACATGGCTGGGGATTAAGGCACCACAGCAGCACCAGGGCTGACCCACTCCATGCAGGAGCCTGGCCTGTGACAGCACTGGGTAAGGCCAGAGGGACACATGGCAGTCCCAGGTGTCCCCAGAGCACCAACTTGGG